AAGGGCGCACCCAAGGACACTTGGAAAATTTCTCAGGGCACCCAAAGACTTACCGAAGTCCCAGCCACAATGGCCCGACCCCAAGGCTTGACTCAAGGCCAAGCTCCAAAGGCCCAGTTCACGGTTTCAAGGCCAAACTCCTTGCCGAAGCGGTGCTAACACCGTAAGGATGCTCACGAGGCCCAGCAGCCTCCCTTGGAAGATTTGGCCTAGCCTCCCTTCAAACGCAGCTCAGCCTTGCGCTAGTACTTCCAAAGTCGCAGCACCTTGCCGAAACCCTTAGGATCTGCCGAAACAAAGAGGGCCTTGCCTAGGTCCAAAACTGGACCAGCTATTCTGCCGAAACAAAAAGGGCCTAGCCCCCTTGCCTCCCGACACTCCTCCAAACTCAAGGCATGCTTGAGGACTAGCTCCCACAAATCTTAGCTCACCTAGCTCCCACCTTGCCGAAGCTTACTGACCCCAGCTCCAAGCCCAGCCTTGCCGAAGGTCTAGCTCCAAATGGCTAGGCACCCAGCTCAAGTGCCCACCTACCGAAGCTCAGGCTAAACCAAGACGCAACACCACTCGCTGGGTATCTGACCCAGCCTCTCCTTGATGCCCGGCTACAAGGAAGCCAGCCACACACCAACACAACTTGCCGAACGGCAAGGGTCGTGGAAAAATTCGAGGGGAAGCTCACAACAATACCAACTCCAACTTAAGCTTGCCGAAGGATCTCTCTCGGCCCAGCTCCAAGGCCACACTCCCAGCTCCGATTTACTCAAGACACCCACCAAACACTTAGGCCACTTAGCTTGCCGAACGGCAAGCACCGTTCGGACGGAAAGGGAGACACCCGATCTGCCCAGCTCCGGCTCAGCTTGCCGAAGGAACGAACATCTACTAAAACTACCTGGCTGCTCCCTTACCGAAGCTCAAGGCACCCAGCCAACCCTTCGAGAAATCTGCTCCCTGCCGAAGGTTCAGCTCAACACAGCTGCTCACCAAGTCCCCGAGCCCAAACCAAAATCGCCAAGACTTGCC